AAGTTCAGTTGCCTCATGAAAAAGCACCTTTGGGACATAACTTCCACTCCCACACTTAGAACCATGTTAAAACCTCAATGACAGTCTCTTGTGTGTGTGTGTGGGGGGGAGGGGGAACATATGGTCTACTCTATTGATTATCCATCCCTGATCTAGAATCTGACTGGAGTGCTAAGGAACATTTTAAATGTCCTTTTTGGAAATTTTCCAGTGAGGCAAGATAAATGAATACTCTCTATAGGATAAAATTCAATGTATTTTTTATTATTTCTTGCTAACTACCAGGCATCCTGCCCTATCTGAAACAGCAGGGAAGAAGGAAGCTAGCATATTGCAAATGAGCCCCCAAAAAGTTTCTTGGAAGTGAACTATAAGGATTTGCTTGGATATATTCACAGTAGCCCAGAATATTAGTACATAGTATTCTACTATATCAATACTCTGTCATTGTTTAGGTCCCTATGGGAGCTATTTTGTGCAATCTCACAGCACCCATGAGAATAAAATATCACATGCTCTCAACTTTCCAAATGATCCTACCAGCCCCCAAACAGTTGACCTTTAACCCCAAACATTAACAAACTGCAATGGCAGTGTTTGCATAACATGTTAAGCCAAAGCAAACATTTTTACTTAATGGAATGCCCTTATTCACAAAATATACAGACAACATGTGATTGGTTTGGTTTTGGTTCCACTAGATTTTATAAAGTATGGTTTAATTCATGCTATAAAGAGCTGCTGAGTATCTCATTACAGAATCAGAATGGGAAATGGCCATTTAGGCCCCTGGCTCTTTACTTAATGCACCAATCCAATTGTTTAATTCTACTGGGAGAATTAGTGGGATTGACATCTAAACCTGAACTCATCCAAAGAAGGAGCGCCATTACCCTTTTGGCAATTGGTTCACCTATCTGATTATTCTTATTATTAGGAGAAAAATTCCCAATATTCAACTGGAATGGTTTAAATTCTGGATTTTGTGTTCAACAGATGTATTCTTTGTTTCTATCATGCCCAGGTTTCAAATCCCTTCATGCTCTTTGTAATTACCTGGGAAGATTCTAGAAAAGATAATCAAAAAACAGATCTGTGAAAAAACTAGAAGCAAACTTTATAACTAGCAGTCAGCACAGGTTTGTTAAAAACAGATCATGCCAAACCAATCTTATTTCATTCTTTGACAAAGTGACTAAACTAATAGACCAGCAAAATTCTGTGGACATGGTATACTTAGACTTCAGTAAGGCTTTTGATAAAGTAGACCACAACCTACTCCTTGGTAAGCTAGAAAAAGCTGGAATAGACAACATCACCACCAGATGGATCTGTAGCAGGCTGGCAAACTGTACTCAATGAATAGTCCTCAGCGGTACTACATCCACATGGAGAGAAGTAAGCAGTGAGGGGGCTGGATTAGAAGACCTCCAAGGTCCCTTCCAGCTCTATTCTATTCACCCTATTCACCTGGATATACATTGTTTTTTTCTTAAAATAGGGTTGGTTAAAACCACTTAAGTTTCTACATGTGCAACACAATCTTCCTGTTTACTTAGGCTTTAAACCAACTGCTTTCAGTCAATGGATTTTACTTGTAGAAAATTTGTTTATATTGATAAAGCTGAAATTACATTGCAAATGAAACCATTCATTTGTAAGTGAATTTTAAACAGCACCCTCTAGTGAATTATTTTGATATATCTTTTAAATTTTTTTTCATGTTTTGCAGTACTTATTTACTTAGTTGTGCTTTTCTAATTCAATGGTTCTCAACCTTTCATGTTCTACTTCCCAGCAATCATGTGTCCCACCAGAAAGAAAATATTTTTCTGAGAACAGTTATACATTTACAAGCATTTTCTTGCTATAATCTTCAAAAACAACAATAAAACTTCCACAAATAATAAGGTGGTAGCATAGTAAAGCTTTAGATGTGTACATAGGAAGTAGAAATGGAAATGTTAAATTTGGGGAGATTACTTTTTGAGAAGGTTTGGGCTAAAACCTGGCTGGTTTTTAGGATATTTTAAGGCTCTTTCTGAGCTGAAATTTGCAGAGTACCGTAATAGCTTGATGCCTTTTTGCTTGAAGAAAACCCCTTAAACAGATAGCAGGGATATGGAGGAGGAGCTGTTACTAGTTAGCATCCAGCAGCAGAGCTGCCAGCGCATCCAGGAGTTTGAAAAAAGTGAGTTAATTCTAGAAATCAAGTCATGACTATTGCCTCCTCTTTTCCCTTCAGTTGAATTGTTTACGTGCCATCAAGTTGATATCAGCTTTTAGCAGTCATATACGGGTAGATAAACTTTCTCAGGATGATCTGTCCTCAAACTTGCCCTTCAGTAATGCCCATCATTACTGAGTTCATCCACCTTGTTGTTGAAACTCTTCTTACTCTCTTTCCTTCCACCCTTCCAGCTTTATGGACTCTGCAAGGAAGCTGGGTCATTATATAATTTGTCCAAAATATGATAACTTGAATCTTGTTATTTTTGCCCTGAGTGAGATTTCCAGGTTTATTTGTTTAATGACCCTTTTGTTTGTTTTCTTGGCTATCTATGGTATTCTCATAAGTCTTCTCTAACACTAAAGTTCAACAGTGTAAATACCCTTTCTATCCAGCTTTTTCAAAGTCCAACTTTCATTTCTATGTAGTGTCACAGGATCATCATTGCCTGCACAATCCAGATCTTTGTAGATGGAGACACATCCCAACATCTGAATATATTTTCCAGGATCTAACAAGTGCTTGTCTGCAGCATATTTCTTGACTACTGCTTCATTTACTGTTGATAGTCGAATATAAAGGCAGAAACTACTTCATTTTTGCCAGTTCTACAACTGGTTGCCTTATCTATTGTTATTAATTTGTTCTTCTTTATAGTTTCACTGTGTTCCTTGACTTCCATTACTAGAACTTGCCAATCATCTGCATTTTAAATTATTGTGCCCATCTTCTTACAATCTACTCTCCCTTCAACTCTGTCATTGATCTGGTATGAATGAAACAGATGGCTTGCCAAGACAGACATTGGCTGCCATTTCTATTTCCTGAGATGCTGCATGCGAATGCCAAAGCAAAAGGAATCAACCAAAGGGCTATCCAAATCGATAGTCCTGCATGTTACATTTCATCCTCCTTTGCATTGGATGTGATATACAGGAAGATTTCTGAATATATACCACTAGTGATACATCAAAATACTATACATATGACACAAGACAGGCCTAAAAATGTTTCTCCGTGGTTGAAAGTGTGTAATAAGATAACCTCCTTCCCAAGCCCAGCAGCCTGTGATCTTTCCTCTGGTATCCAGCAGGTGTTTGTGAGGAGTCACTGAGTCAGCTTTCTGCTTTTGCTTTCCATCCACTTTGTCCCCTTCAACATAATTGAGTGCTCACAAAAAATGTCCCCCTCTATAAATGATCTGAAACCAGAAAAAGATAGCATGTTCAGAAGACTAGAATAAAAACTTTGAGTCTGGCTTATAGTATTATATCACATCCAATGCAAAGGAGGATGAAATGTATCACGCAAGACTATCGATTTGGATAGCCCTTTGGTTGATTCCCTTTGCTTTATTTGGATGTGACCAACATTTTGTTGCAGAAAATGTATAGCGTATATTCTATCTGTCCGTCCATCCATAGGGCAAAGTAAGTTAACAATAAAAGAGAAATAAAAACAATACCATTTAAAAAAGATAACTCTCTTCATTACATCTGCTCACCCCATCAGATCTGGCAAGAGAGTCATGCTATGGATCCTGCCAAGGAAATACATTTGGCAGAGGTAAGGAGGCAGGCTTTGTCTGCCCTGGTGCCCAACTTATGGAATATTCTCCTCTCCCCCTGCACCCCCAAAGTGAGGACACCTCCCTCCCTACTTAATTTTCCTGAAGTCCTCAAGATGTGGTTATGTTATCTGACCTGGGGTCTCTAAAAGGATTGGTGAAATGTTGAAGTGGCTTCCTGCTAATCTAATCTCTTGTGTGGGGGTTATGTTTTTTAAAACTTGTTTATTGAATGCTTTTGGTATGCTTATAGTTTTTTATATTTTTTGCTCTATACCCATCCAGTTACTTTTGGGGAGATGGGTGGCTATATAAATTTGATAAAATACATAAATAAGGAACCATTGAAACTAATTCAAACTGAGTTGGAAGAGAGAGGTCTTGACAAATGGCTAAGTGTAACTCACTAAATAGTACAATCCACAGCTTGGTAACTATATTGTATTTATTATTTTTGAAAAAAAAATGTTCCTTTTATTTATCTCCAGCTGGCTACACGCAAACTATAAAATATTTAAAGTCAAGGATCATCCAAACTAATGTCTTTCTGCTATTTCTAGCACTACTGAACTCCTTGCCAGGGATGATCTTCCTGCGGAATTCAGACCCTTGCACTTTGGTGAAAACCAGCCTGTTGAACCCGAGAGTCCAAACGGGTGACCATTTTACCTTTTTTGCAGCAAAAACTGGCTTAGTGCATTTTAATCACTAATAAAAGCTATCAAAGAAAAATGCACTAGTTATAAGTTATATTCACACAGTTAGGCTTTATTCACATACATTCACGTTTGCTTAACCACGGTTAACTGGATAAGCATGGATTTTCCCAACATCCCATTTAAGCTGTAACGCTCTGTGTGCACAATAGTTTAAACACAATCAAGTAATGGTTTTTGGTTCAGCGCGCGTGTATGTGTGAAAGCAGCCAGTTTTTACAACGCTATTTCTAATGAAATAGTTTTACAATATTATTCACAATACCATTTCCACTGCGTATGCTGCGAAAAGGAAAAAGAAAAAGTCCCGGAAAACAAAAAGACCGAGACCAGCCTCCTCCATTGCTTGATTCCCTAGGCATCACGCACGCGCGAGAGCAGCGCGCCGAACGCAATCCTCCGTACAAAGGGGCAGCGCCGGCTGCAGCGCGCGCCCTCTCAGGCCTTTCTCACGTGATGGTCCACGTGGACGTATGGTTGGCTCGGCCGCCGCTTGTCTGTCTCGGCGGGGAGGGAGGCTCCGCTTTGCGCCGCATTCCGGGCGTGTTGGGGTGGCAGTGCAGGCTGGCCCAACGCGTCCACCGGGAGGGACTCCCTGGCCTGGTTCTCTCAAGCGAGTTTAAAGGATAGCGAACAAAAGGCGGGGCGACCATGCCCGAGAGTGGTCCGGGAGGGCCTGACGACCGGGCACGAGGCGCCTAGTTGCCCGGACACAGACTGAGCAGGAAGGGTCTCGGCGCCTGCTAGTGCTCTCTTCCCTGCTTGTGCCCGGGGCTTTTCCGGGTCTCAAATCGTCCGTCCAGCCTGGTGGGTCGAGCGTAGGTGAGATCAAATGCAACCATCTCGTGCAGGCGGAGGTGGGTTGCAGTCAAGTTCACGACGTCGCGAAAGTTTCGACTTCTGGCCGGTCCTGAGTAGGCCTTCCAGCTTTGGAAAGAGTTATGTGTTTGTGTGTGTGTGCTATTAAATGATATATTCTTTCTGTGTGTCTCTTTTCATCTTCATCAAATTGTTACTGTTGGGGACCTATCCCCTTAAAAAAAACACTGCTATTTTTGTGTGCAGAGCTAATAGCACAGTTGCAGTAGCCTATAAATAAATGAATTGACTGCATCAGTTCAGCCATTCTCTGCAATTTAGTCTGTTCTCCCCAAAAGAACAGACTAAAACTCCATTGATGGACTACTGTCTTACTTTTAGCTCACTTCTGCCAAAGATCTGTGTAAAACATATTGATGTACTATACACCCTTTCCCTTAAATGTAGATTCAAAGGAATATTGGGAAGTTTTCAGAGTCAGTATTTAAGTTTTAATATTTCACAGCCACAATAGGGTCGAGAATGCTAGCTCTACAGTCCTTCCATCTAGGATAGCAGTTCACAACCTTTTCTATACCCCGCACCCCTAGAATGCTTCTGATATATTCTCACACCCCTTACAAAAGTTCGAAATAACGGCAACAAATTATACATATACATTATAATTTTGAAACTTCTAAACCCAAGTTTTCACACCCGCTGGAATATCATCTTGCGTAGGGATCCCCTATTCTAGGAGTTCTGCCCTAGATTTCTAGTTGGTTCTATAAGGAGATGGAAAGCTATGATCTTTCCTCTACAGCCGGCCTTCAATACACAGAAAATGCAACTTTTCCTAGATTTGTCTTCACCCTGGAGTAGAAAACATGGGTAGCTGTTTGAGTTCCAGTTAAAAAGTGGAACGAAATAGAATATGGTTAATAGCAACTTGTGAGAATTTTGTTTGTAGAGAGAATAATAGAAGCTCTGTAAAGGAGGAGTGTTTCCTAAATTATTCCTTGCTTATGCAGATCATCTTGAGATTAACCAACATTCATGAATCCCACTGGACTGCCGGAAACCAGCCAGCTATCTGCAAATGTCAGAACTCACTTCAAAGTCTGCAGGTTCATCATGGAAGCAGGTGAGTGAACAATTGCTATTGCTGATTAAAATATCTGCCTTCCTTGGCTAGTAATGCCCAAATCCTGTGAAAAAGAAGTTGCTGTATTGGGAGGAAGTACTGATCTGTGAGGCACTTGGAGTTAGGGGGTCTTCCTGGATAGATCTAAAGTCAAAGACAATGCAAGTTATTAGATTGGTTGGCTTCATGAAGTAGTGTGGAATAGATATGACTTTTACTTGGTTTTAATTATGTCTTATACTTGAGACATGCAGACATTTCCAGTGTGTTTGCATTTATTTGTAAGAATACTAGATTTCTGATGGAGGAGCTGGATAAAAATACTTAGGTTTGAACCTCTACAACTCCCATTTCCCCAGAATGTCAACTGTGTTGTTTAGGTGTGTTGTTTCATATCCCACTAGGCCTCAAGTCTCCCATTCCTAATACAATGAGAGTTCTGCAAGTAGGACAGATCTTGCCAACTTCCATTAATTTCAGGGAGGTTTGTGTAGATGAATTTCCTGATGGCTTTTACATCACATTCTCTGCTTGTGGTCAGGTCATCTCTGAGTTAAGAAGTCATGTCTCGATTCTTTCTTCCTTATTCTTTTGGAAGAGCTAGAAATTCCTTGCTATATCTCTTTTTTCTGCTAACAGGTGTGAAGTTAGGCCTGCGCTCTGTCCCTATTGCTACTGCGTGCACCATTTATCACCGATTTTTTACGGAGGTGTCTCTGGAGTCGTATGATCCTTACTTGGTAGCTATGGCTGCACTGTATCTGGCTGGGAAAGTAGAAGAACAGCATTTGCGGATAAGAGACATCATCAATGTGAGCCACAGGTAATAAGCATCGGGATCAAGATATGTAGTTACAAAAGACAGGCTGGATGGATGAGGAATAAGTAGTGGCTTAGAATCAGTAAAACCAACTTCTTGCAGCTTGGCATTTCCCATTGTAAAGAGAGCCTATACTACAGTAAAAGTAATTGCTGAATCAAGGAATGGGTAGCCAGGTGGACCTGGTGCTTTTCAAAATGTGGTGGAATTCCCAGTATTTGGTCATACTAGTTAGGAATTCTGGCTATTACATCCCCCACATACTTGGAAGAAGATTGGCTTAGGTAATAGGTCCATTTGCTTTAAATTATATAATGAACTTTATCCCTGATAAATCTGATTCTTTAGCTTCAACTTTGCTAAGTCATCTTAATACACAAGACTTCCTTGTAAGATTCAGGAACCTCAAAGACCTTGTGGATTAGAAAAAGATCTCATCCATTCTTATATTGGTGAGATTTTCCTCAGGAAGTCCATAAATAGAACAGGAAGATAACACATGCTTTTCTACTTTGGGTTCTCCTGAACAATTATTATTCTTTGCCTCTGAGCCCAGAGATCTAAACTATGAATATCATGTAAGCCAACTGTCTTTTCTGTATCTGTGATATGAATTCCATAAGCTATTTCAGGCTGTAAAAAATATCTGTACATTATGGTCATTAGGTAAACCTAAGTTTTAATATAGAATTTAGTGGGATTTGGCAGAATCTCCTAAACCTGCAGAGAGCTCAGACTCCTATTTTAAAAAAAGTTAAGCTTGGACAGTCAAGTTTATGTTCATGAAGTAGGAGGCAGGGATAACTCCAGTTGAACTTTCAAGTAACAATAGTCCTGGGAAAAACTAGATATTCTATGAAGAACCTGAAGTTTAGAGTTTTATCTGTCCAATCCCTCTCCACCCAATTAACTTTCCTTATCTAGATTCTAGATGAGGAAAGCAGAATTAGGCAAAACATTCTACATTGCAGGGCCAGCTTCAAACCTCTACTCAGTCATTATAATGTTGGGGAGCTTTGAGTCCATTGTTTTATCTAACTGTTCTGGGAAAGATAAAATATGAGGAGAGAATTGCTATGTATACTATATATTCTTCCTGGAGATGAAGGGGGATCTGAGCCAAATGATTATGTTTGTAAATAGCTTCGGAGCCTTTTATGAATTCATTGAATAATGTTGTGTGTTGAACTGTAAGGTGGTGTGGGAGAGATGTTTCTTCCCTAGTGATTAGCAAAGCTGACCTTGAAGGGAAATTCTTTTCTGGCTTTATGGCAATTTCTTTCTTCTTTCTAATACAGGTAGTCCTCAACATACAGCCTTGATGGAGCCTGCTTACTACAGTCATATGTTGTAATGGTTGTAAAATGGGTTGGGCCATCTAACCAACTCAATTTTACAACATTTTTTGTGGCATTGTTAAGTGAATACAGCAGTCATAAATGTCGAATTACTGGATGTGTATGCTGGTTTTTCGCAAAACCATCATAGAACGTGGCCATATTGCTGAGTGTCTACGGTTGGGGTCGTGTTACCGTGGAGGGGACCCAACTGTCAGAACTTTGTATTTTGGGTTTTAACTTCCCTTTTTCTGGTCTGTTGTAACTTCAAAGGGGGTCACAAGGTCGCTTTTATGAATTAGCTAAATAATGATGTAGGTTGAACTGTAAAATAGTGTGGGAGAGATCATAAATTGTAAGTCGAGGACTACCTGTAATTATATATTATAGCAACAACTTCAGATCCATGATAATTTTCAAAAATAAATACATCTGCTCTATCGAGTAAAATTTATTCCTATTGAAAATATCCTTCATAAATGAGACAACCTGTCAGAAAGCCATAGAGGATTGTAAGTTCACCATTATCTTGGGAGCTCAGAGGAAGGCCCAAGTCAGCTTACTTGCAAACAGAAACATTTCAGCATTTTTCCTTACTCTTCTCAGGTACTTGCATCCTCGGAGTGACCCCCTGGAGCTGGACACACATTTCTGGGAGTTGAGAGACAGCATTGTCCAGTGTGAGCTGCTCATGCTACGTGTGCTCTGCTTCCGTGTCTCCTTCCAGCAACCCCATAAGGTCCAGGCTACATAGGAGGGACATAGGGTAGAAATGGTGTGCATGAAGTACATGGGAGGCAAGGGGTTAAGTCTTTACTTCTCTGCCTTTAGGCACTGAATGAATAGTCCTGTTACAAGAGAAGTTGGTGCCAGGTTCTTTGCCGCTGCCATGTTTTCAATAATCCCTGACAGATGTCTTTTTCTTTATGCAGTACCTTCTCCATTTTTTACTGTCCCTGAAGCACTGGATGAATCGGCATAGTTGGGAGCGGACCCCGGTGGCAGCAGCAGCTTGGGCTTTGTTGCGGGACAGTTACCATGGTACCCTGTGCCTCCAGCACTCTCCACAGCATATTGCTGTGACAGTCCTTTACCTTGCTCTGCAGTGTTATGGAGTGGAAGTACCTGCTGATGCTGAAGCCGAGCGACCGTGGTGGCAGGTAAGGGAGACAGGGTGGGAAGTGAACAGCAGTTCAAATGCCTTCTGTGTCCTTCAGCTCTAACAGGGTCAGGTTTTGGAGCTTGCCTGTGTGGGATTTTGTTTATATGATTATTTGCTTATTTATTTAGCATCCTTGCTTCACAGCCTCTGTGTCAATGCTGCTAATATTGGATATTATTTCTTTGACAAGATATGCAGAACTGTCTGGTATTTTTAGAGTTAATTCAGATGATGGTGGGAGAGGAGGAGAAGCCGGAAGTGAATCTTTGCCCTCCAGGTTGATTGGAAAATGTGAATTACGACTCCAAAATAGGGGAGGGGAATAGCCTGGAATGTTATGTGCAAAGGAAGGGAAATTCAGATCTTGGCATCCTCCATGCTGTGCCGACACTCTGTCACACAAAGAATAAAGACTTTTTAGGATAAACAATGCCTGGAAGTTCTTTGAAGTGTTTCATTAGGCAGAACCTTGACACTCTGCACTTTAAACTGAAATGTGGGTAGTGCAGTTTCTTAGATATTAAGTCACTGCTATCGCCTGACCTGCACCAGAAGTGGAAAACCTCCCACTGATCTTCCAGCTGTTTCTTTAATCAGTCTTATGTACAACTTTCCATATTAAGAGAAGATTTTGAAGCAGTATACAGTAATACTGTATATCAAAATCAAAGCAAACATTAAACTACATAAAACTCTTATCTTACATATTTTTAAATCAGATCACTTAGTCAAAAACAAAACTATGATCCAGCCTCTGGTATCTGTCAACCCAAGCCAGGTTTAGGAAAAGCACACATGGAAATATAACAAATTCCTCAATCCTGGTCTGTGCATTCTGGCTGTGTTCATATATCGTACTGAGCTGTAGGTAGTTTTAATCAGGTTAGCTTGAACAAACCCTAGGTTGCACTTAATGTGTATAATTGTGACATGGTTAGCTGAGAATGGAGAGTAGACCCATCCGAGAATTATCCAGAGTTTCAGATGTTTCAGGAGCCACACATTGAAAGCCAGGGAGCAACAGTGCTGCTTTTGCATGGGCTGTTCTTAGACACCCTACTGCAGGTGGGCCGATTGTGTTTTCTGAAACTCTGTTCTAGTAACAAGCTAGGGATTCTGCTGCCTTCCTAGACACCCTGCTGTCCATCAATCTCCCTGAGTTTCTATTTCTCATTGTGGGGCTATTGTTGAACTGGCTCTTATGCAGGATAATTCAATTTCCATGCACTGAGGATGGGATCAGGAATAACTTGGAAGTTCATGGCTTCAATGGCAATGAGATAAATAGTGCTGTGTCATGCTCAGTTTGTAGCTAGTTTCCTTTAGAGACCTCAACAAGGTTGGGGGATTGATTAAAATGATCTACCCTGGACATGTTATTGATCTACTCTTGTTTCCATCTCACACCTGAGGATTTTGTCAGCATTTGTGGTGAGTAGTTTTGTTGCAAGTCTTGTCATTCTTTGAAATGTGAAGCTAATGAGGGCTTTGGACATGAATCCCAGCAAGACAGGGTTGCTTTTCAACATAAACATTCACTGGCTTTGGATAGTGTTGCATACGAAGTAGACCGCAACTTGTGAGTTCTCCTGGATTCATGGTTCTTCCTAGGAGGTTAGGAAGAGCCTTTGCCCAGCTCCGACTGTTTTGCCAGTTAAGGTGTCTGGTCCTTTTTTAGAGTGAAACCTTAGCATCTGTTACTCATGCCCTCATTATGTCAACATTGGATTACTGGAACTGTTCTCTGTTTGGAGCTGTCTTTGAAGACTACCTGGAAATCGCAGTTGGTACAGATTGTGGCAGCCCACACACGTTGGCAAGTGAGAGCTGCTGTAGCAGAGTTAAATCTGTATTGTAGGTACTGCGATGGTTTTGAGGACTTTCAAGAAGCTTGCCTTAACCTATAAAGCCACTCTGTGGCTTGGGATCAGATCACAGATAGCATCTGTCTGTCCTGTTTGATCAGTTTGCAGGGGATGCTCTGGTCCCTGCTCCTCGGCAGGCTGAGGAGACAGGTTCTTGGATGGAAACGGTGATCTTTTCCTAGGTCAGGGGTAGGCAACCTTGGCTCTTTTATGACTCGTGGAATTCAACTCCCAGAATTCCTGAGCCAGCATTGCTCACCATGGAAACCTCTCCCTTTTCCCTCAGCATGGCTGGCTCAGGAATTCTGGGAGTTGAAGTCCCCGAGTCATAAAAGAGCCAAGGTTGCCTACCTCTGACCTAGGTCTAGATATTTCAGGAAAACAGTGAAAAATCTGGTTTTATTGTTGAGCGTTTGAGACAGGCGATGTTAGTTGAACATGACGTTATTTCCCATAATGTTTTGAAATACGAGGTTTTAACCTTATGTCAGCCAACCAGAGTGGTTGAGGTATGTGAATTATAAATTGTATAGGTAAATAACCATAAATCAATAAGACGTTACCTATAGCTTACAAATCACAATAGCTAAATGCACACACTGTACTAAGTCAAAACTTCAAAAAAAATGCTCATTAAGTCCGTACTCACAATTGGGCATGTTGTTAGTTGAATAATAAAATTTTGAGTTGTGAAATGAGTTGAGGTATCCATAGCTGGGTTACATGTTTTTGTTTTTAAGTGGCTAATACAGCCATGGTACCTTTGAATTGAATTAAAGCATACATGTACTCTATGGAGCAAATGACATCGATATCATATGCGGAGCAATTTCAGCTAGATAAATGGCATTGGGCAGGAAAGCTAATCTCCATCTTTTTCAGTGGTCCTAATCCATTTGTTTGCAAAAACATGAGAGAATCGAGCACAGATCTGCTTTAATTAAGATAATTAGGGCATATCCTTGCTTAGACTTAGTCTTGCCCCTATGAAAACTGTAGAATCTCACAGATACAGATGATGATGGATCTTAAGTTGTAAAACATGGGAAAATTCTGGGAATCGTAATATTAAAAAAAACAACAACCAAAATTTAGCTTTGCAGATCCATCTTCTATTTCAGGCATTGGAGCTTCTTTGCAGGATAAGAATAAAAGCCAGTGCTGTGGTGATCAGTACGGAATTTGGAAATAAAGTGCAGTTGTTAATGGAATGGCCATTAATTGAGGGAAGCATCATTTTTTATATGAATGTATTTGTACCCATTCTGTCCTTTTGCCAGCTGTGGTCAGATTGAATTTTTGCATTCTTCAAACCTCTCTTAGTTAGGGAAAGTAGGCAAAATATATTTGATTATAGAGTACTTTATTTTCTGGAAAAAATATTTTGCCCACTTGATCCTACCCGGATTTTTTCCTGCTTTGCTAAAATTTTTTCCTCATTTTATTTTATGTTTTAGGTGTTCAGTGAAGATCTTTCCAAACCTGTCATGGACCAGATAGTCTTGGAACTGATACGGGTCTACACTTTGGATGCAGAGATCTAAGTACGCTGTGAAGAGAAAGACTTCCAGCTGAGAGTCTATACTGAATTGTCATGTTTCAAGCTGGGATAATGGTGAAAGTATTACTGATACTTGAAGGGATTGACACCAGAAGTACACTCTCTTCTGTTGAGGCATCCCACTGAACAGCACTGGAGTTGAACAAGCGAAGCACCGTGATAGCGCTGAGAATCTCCTAACAGAATCACTTTCCAGTGGGGAGTTCATCTGTAACTTATTTTCCATCACTCACAAAAGAACAATGTTCTGAATGGAAGTTTGTGGAATAAGGAAATGAGTGAAAAAGATTCTTTACCTAGTTCAAGTAAAAATGTGCTGGCTAGATATTTAACTTGTGTCTCTGGAATAGTTTCCCGAGCCTCAGTGCAGTCATTGTTTTGTGTTGACCTTGTTGCGAAATTATTTATTTATTAGATTTGTGTGCTGCCCATCTCATCTAGATGCAACTCCAGGTGGCTTAGAAACATTAAAAACCTGGCAAGCATTAAAAGGATAGAACAATATGTAACAACAATAAAAAATACAGTTAAAAGATGGGGAGGAGGGGAGCATGACATACCTGGTGAGAGGTGGGATCTTCTCTTAATCCGATAGCCACCTCCAGTATGGTGCAATCCCGTTGGGCCCCGTGCCAACTGGGAGAGCCAGGTCTTCGGGCCCTTTTGGAAGGTCAGTAGATTGAGTGCAAATCTCACCTCTGGTTGTATGAGTTCCAAAGGGCAGGAGCCGCAGCAGAAAAGGCTCTTCTGGATCCTGCCAGCAAATATTCCTTAACTGACAGGGTGTGCAACATGCCCCTTTTGCCAGGATAGGTGGGGTGGCCAAACCCATTGGAGTGAGACAGTTCCTCAGATACCCTGGATCCGTACCTTGGAGGGCTTCAAAGGTGATAACCAACTTGAACTGTATCCAGAAGCCAACCGGCAGTCAAGGCAGCTCATGTAACAGTGGTATAATGTGGGTACCCTAGGGGCCCCAAGGAATGGCTGCGCCGCAGAATTCTGCACCAATTGTAGAGATGGGATCAAGAGGAGTTTTTTGGTTTTTTTAGGAAGGGGTAAACCAGGGCCTCTTAAAAGGCCCCAGGAACATCCCTCCTCCGGGCTGTTGGCTTTCCAGCTGACAAGCCCATCATCTTAACTGCTGAGCCATCGCGTTGCCCGTATCTTATTATAAAATATCTTTAATTTTTGCTTAATTTGTGTTGGAGAGAGAATTTTGAAGGAGACACATCATCAATTAGATCCTGCAAAGCAGTTCTTGGGTACACCTTGTTGCCTTTTTCCCCCAGCCCTGCAAACATCCATATTTATAGAGCCACAGATCTTGTACCTCATGTAATTTATCAGTGCTTGAACTCACCTGGCAATTACCATTCTGGAGGCTTTCACCGACTGGGAAGGACAAGGATATAATTGACAGGTGGTTGCACTGACAGCATCAGGGACCCTGTCCACTTCATCAGGTCCAACAGGATCAAACTTCCCAGATAAATGGGCAAGACTTTTTCCCCAGGCGTCTCATATGGAGCGGCACCAGACAGGTAATGAATCCAAGCAATTTTGTCTGTCGTGTGTTGAACAAATTCCTCTATGAGGCCCTGGAGATGACCCTTTCACATGCCCTCCTGCCCCAGGAGGGACCAAGTGTTTCCTAAACAGGGCCGCAGGGCAACACTGCAAATGCAATAAAGGCGGAGAAATGATATTTCCCTGCTTGTACTGCCAGAAGATAGGCCTTAATAGCAGCTCTAAGTTGTGTCTGGTTGGAATCATCCCTTGTTTATCACCAGTTGGTGCTCTAGGCATCTCAACCCTTTTCAGAACCTGCAACTTCTCTGAACTATAGGGAGGATTGGGAGCGATGGGTCAAGAGTGGCTGTACAGGCACGATCCTGTCCTAAGCTTCAGCCACCCTTTGATTCCAGAATGTTACTGGACCTTTGGCAGGACTGCAACACCCCCCCCCCCCCAGGATATCTCTCAGTTCCCTCTGGAACCCATTCAGGTCCATCAGTTGCTTGAATGGGTCCGGTCTCAACAGTGAGGACAATTAAGCAGTGGAACAGCTTGCCTTCAGAAATCATGGGCACTCCATCACTGGACATTTTAAAGAAGAGACTGGACAGTCACTTATCTGAGCTGGTTTAGGTTCTGCTTGAGCAGGGGGCTGGACTAGACCTCCAAGGTCCCTTCCAGCTCTATTCTATTCCTTGTGGAGGGGAATGGCATAAAAGAATCTGAAGGACAGCAGGGCTTGATCTGATCATGACAAGGGGGAGTGGTCCACCAAGTCACGTTGCCATTGTTCTGACAATAATGTCCCGCATGTGGCCTCTCTACCGCCTTGAGTTGGACCTGAGATGATCTGGGATAGGCCCATGGCTGCCATGATAGTCACTGAACTGGGCTGCTTCTTAGGCCAAGCCCAGGGATGGCAGATTGAAGTCCTCCAGGACCAAAAGCCTTGAATTCCTCTGCCATCACTGAGAGGGCCTCCAGCCACTCAAGCAGGGAGGCTGCTATAGTAGCGACACTCCCATTTAATTCTGTGAGCCCAGCTTCAGGAACAATGTCTCACAGCCAGAAACTTGGGAGACCAAGTCCCCTGAAAGCTAAATGAGATTCTCTTCCCCCCCCCCACTGCCCTGGGGTCTTGGCTTGTGTCAAACCCTAAACCCCTGGGCACTTTTCCAAGAGGGGAACACCCTCCCCTTCAGAGTCAGCCAAGTCTTGGTGATGCATGCCAGGTTGGCTTGCTCTTCCTCAATAAGGTCTTAGATGAGATGAGCCTTATTATTGACCAACTTGGCATTCACCACCAGCAGCAGAACCTCAGGGCCTCTGAGGGTAAAAGCACCACCAGCTTATTACTTATTTTACTTAACACAATTAAGGCACACCAGCAGCCAACTTAAAACATTTAAGGCACACCCTGCCGTCAAATTCAGTTTAGTCCCAACTTCTTCCATCTTTTGCTAGCAGTCCTTGATCATCACACTGTACGATCCTTAAAGGGATATTTTTGATTAGGCGGATGTGTGGCATATTAAAACAATAGTTAAATCCTATGTGTGTTGCAGTGGTATCTGACGGACCGTCTGATTCCATTGTTGCATTTTCTTCAGGTGTAGATTTTAAAAAACAGAAGGTTCATTGGACTGCTGCATTTTTGTGTTTCTGGGTCAAATGATACTGCATGTCCAGAAGAAGTCTGTACCGTTTGTAACCTGAATTTGTGTTCCTTCTGATAATAGAAATAGTTATTGAAAGAAGGAATTGGGGTGAGAAGTTGAAGATAAGAATCATATCTTCTCATTTTTCTAGCTAATTGTGCAGAGGAGGTATGATTCATTCCAATTCTGTCTTGGTTTTCGGTTCTCGAATTTTCTGGTTTGTGTTAAAGGCCTCTTTCTGATTATAAATTGATTCCCGTCTTTATGTAGTGTGATTGGAATACACTTGGCCTACATGCTTAATAAGGAATATTCAATATCTCCAAGAAGGGTAGACTTGTGGAAGTCCATTAATCCTATCTCCTAATTTAGAGAAAGACTGATAATGCCATCTGGTGTTTTTAAAGTGTTAAGCAGAAATTGTCTATGTCCCTTTTTATGCTTTTCTCTGCAATGCTAAGGCTTAAAAACCCTTTTCCCACTAACTATGTGCTTTTATTGGAGCTACCCTATAGAAAATCCTATAGAATTAATGCTAGGATTGGAATAACTATTGGATTGGCCTGACTCACATGACTAATGGAACTCATTGGGTTCCAGAGGGAGCTTAGAGTTATTCTGGAAAACCTGCTACTCGGTCCGATTGAAGCCTTGACTACATGGAAAGTGTCAGTGGCTTTTGATCGGATCACTTCTGAACAGCCTCTCCGTGCCCAGGGTTTCCACCATTCCCTGCAGTATATGATGGAATTAAGGGAATTTAAGCAGGCTAAGAGATGCCTAAAGTGTCGCTGGCAAAAGACAGGGAGCAAAGATATTTGGACACAGCTAGAGCCACTATTAAGGCCTACCTTGTAGCCTAAGGGTGACGAAATGTAATTGCTTCTCTGCCCTTATTGTGTCTGCTGATAGTCGCCCAGTAGCCCTGTTTCAGGTGATTAGTCTCTTGGAGGGAGCAATGCCAAAGTCCACCTATAGGCTGCACATACAGTATATGTAGCAGACAAAATTGGTCACATTCACTGTATGTTGGACCCTCACCTTATATTAGAGTCAATGGATGTGGTGGGGGCTATGTCTTGCTAGTGATCTGGGAAGAGTTTGAGCCCTTGGAATCTGAAGAAGTGGACAGCGCTCCCTCAACTGCTACTTCAGGTGGTTGTGTGTTAGAGTTGTGCCTTTCCTGGCTAATTAAGGCCTTGTGGAGGGAATGTGTGAGTAGGTCTGGGCAATAGTTAACTCTTTGAGAGAGGGGCTGGTCCTGCTGGCTCTTGAAGAGGCAATGGTGCACTCCCTCCTCAAAGGACAATTGCTTGACCCAGCAAAGCTGGTCAGCTTTTGTCCAGTCTCCAATATCCCCTTTCTAGAGAAGGTGATGGAGAGAATGGTCACATGGCAACTTCATAGAACTGTGGATGAGATGATTATCTACATCTTTTCAGTCAGGATGAAGACCAGGGTTTGGGACTGAGACAGCACTGATCATGCTCACGGATGACCTCTGGCAGGAACATCCATCCTGGCTCTTCTTGAGCTCTGAGAGCCATTTGATATCCTTCTGGGCCATCTCTGGGAATTGGAGGTGGGCAGCATGGTATTGTATTGGTTCTCCTCCTTTCTCCAGGGCCAGTTACAATCAGTGTTGATAGAGGGAGAGAGATCCAGGCCAGGCCATGAACTTGGTTCATGGCTTACTTTTCTAATTTTTGTACAAATAACATTGTAAGAGTAAAAAAGGAGGGGAAAAGCCCAGCAAGCATGACTTCTGGAATTCTTTCTAAGCCCATAGGAGAACTCTTATTTCTTCCGGGTGACTTCTGTACTTGTGTATGTTTGTGTTTCTGCTGCACCTTTCTCTCTGTTTGTCTATTTGCTTGGATGAGGAAGCGTGTGCCACTCTGGGTCATGTGATTGGGGGAGTATTGGAATTCAACTTTATATGCATCAGCTTTCCATAGTATTAAATGTATTAATCACTGGGGATTTGAGAGGGGGAGAAGGAAGGAGGGAGGGGGAGGGAGGGAGGAGAGGGGAGAAAGATGCTGCCAATTTGATATTTTTTTCTTCTCAAAAATACTTTGTTTACTTCTTCCCAAGAGACATGCCTCCAGTTGTTAGACTATGATATTTCTCCATCACTTCCCTTCTCACTCAGT